TTGGCAGGCCAGCTTGCAGTCTAATTTACGTGCAGGAAATAAATACTTAACGATTGAAATCATTCTATAGTCACAAGAAATTATTTACTAAAAATTATCAGTTAATTGCATGTTATAGTGGCTTACATTGAAATTAACCCACATCTCTTTAACATTTCAAGCAGAATTACTTATAGTAAATTGAAATTGTCATAATGATTGGACTATTTACGACAACTAAGGCAGACATGCTGTGGAGGTTTTCCTTCACGCTATACTTCTGAACCAAACGAGTAACTTTGACATAACCAGTCACAGCATAACAGGGGTAAAATTGTTCTCGTAATCCGGACGACCCATCAGAGGAGACTAAAATCTGCCGCAGTGAAGTCATGGAGATTAATTCTTTTTTCTGTGCAACATTAAAAGAAGCAGTAGTGCTGTCGTCTTTTGTTGTGTGAAATTGGCCAAAATGCCCAGAAAAGAATAAGCAAAACAAACGCAGTGGGCATTTGCAAGTTATATAAGATCTATTTATAAAAACGTTTGAGTCACTTTAGGTGACATTGCTAGAAGTCAGTGTGAAAGTGTAAGAACCATGTGACGAAAGGAAATAATTGTGTCAGGATGAACCTAAGGATCACAGAATTGTCACTTCAAACTCGATTAACTTCCTGTGGAGACAGTCTTTACAAAGGCGCAGTTGAAGTGCACCAAAATATGCACATATGTGTGTTCAAAAGTGTAGATTTGAAGTGGTTGGTGTGATTTTGGGTTGTATTGTTGGGAGTCAGTAATAACTGTGCGGAATAGAGAAGTACGTGGGCCTCATAACTGTCCCTACGAATTCGGTCTATATCCTTCCTCACAGAAGTGTAGTACTTTGCTGTTGAAGTCACAATAATTCAAATCACCTAGGGTCTTAGTGCAAGTTATGAAAGCGCTGCCATAATTCAATACGGTTTTAATTTTGAGCCAATCAAATTCGCGACTTAGCTAGTGCCACGGCATCTGCCAATGATCACGTTATTCACAAAGCCAAGTAGGCCATGGGATTAAGGTTTGTTAACACATGTCACATCTATAATGGGAGACGAGTTCAAGCATGCAGCAGTTGTTGAAATGACTCGTAATCTGCAAATGCTTTACTTGAAACCGTACGCGCGTAGGTAGTGTGTTGGCGCACCCTCGACTCAAGCGATGAAAGTTCACACACATACTGGCCCCTGTCGCTTAAGTCTTGTGGAAGATAGAGTAATCAGCCAACAATTTTTTTATTTGATACTCACGGCTTGGGCTCCTGAGGACCGAAATGACACCAGTGATAATTCACCACGTGACGAGACATCGTCAGAGAGTTAAGGAGTTTATGTCGATCATGACGAAATGAACTGAGGTAGATGGTCATGTTGAGGTCCTACACGACGCGATGTACCCAAGGAAGAAGACCAGAGATGGCAGACACGGCAGTGTGCTGGATAGTTCAACCTAGTTGTGTTGTGTTGACTTATACAGTTTAGTGGACTAGTAAAAACATAGGCGGCTGAATGGTAACCCGGATAGAGTATGTGGTGGTGGTGGTACATACAGAGGGGTCAATGAGCAGGCGGTCCCAGTGACTAACGGGCACGCCGTGAAAGGGGAGTCGTGTGTGGGAGGCTGTGACGATCAGGTTATTGGACGTGAGTCAATACGGTTCACTACAGTCACAGTACTTCAGGCCGGTTAACTTGACTGAATGCTCGCGGTTGCCGAGGTCTTGTTGAGAAGCAACTCATTGTAGAACAGAATTACACATGCGGCGTGTTAATGTAGACAAAACTGCACTTCTGAAGTTGTTCTTTTTTCTCCATAAACTGTGCAATGTTCGTGCACAAGGGAATTGGCTACTGCTGATCGGGAATGTTGGCTTACTTTTGGGATCGTCTACTGCAGGAACCTACTTAACAAAGCCTGCTTTGAAATTTCATCTGAATTAACGCAAATGTCAAGACACCACTTTTGCATTGATCCCATGGAACTTTTTTTCTAGTATCGTTATATTAAATAAATTGACACAAATATGTGTGGGACGACCTCAGAGGTACCAGTCAGACAACTGTGTTTGAAACTCGTGGGTGATCACTGCGATTCCCGACCATGGCCATGAAATCACCACCCCGAGAGGGACAAGTGGGGATCCAGTTTGGATGAGAGGATGTTGGGAGGAAAAATTAGAGTTCTTTTCAAGTAAAACTAGTCATCGTCATATCACCTGTGTGCAGAGATATGAATGTCATCGTGTACTTTGTCAGAATCTTAAAGAAACTCAGCCATGATGACATTGCGAATGCTTCGATGACTCCTCTCTCGAGAAAACATAAGAGTACCTAGGGAATTATCCATTTTAAATCAACTTTGCTGGAAGTGTATATTAGCATCATCATCCGATTCTATTCACGCTAAGTATTGTTCATGCAGGTTACAACGAACATTTGTGTTCTTCAGGTTGCTGCCAGTCGAGAGGCAGAATGGGAAGCTGAAATTCGCATTTCGTGTTCACCTAACGATTTTCTTTGACACCAGTTTAAGTTCCCCATTTTCGGGACTTGAGCTAAGCACCAAGTCAACATCGTGACGCCCACAGGACACGCGTTTTTGGCCCTTGGAAGATTTTTGAACGCAACTGTCGGTGTCGTTGGCCTGTGGAAGGTCCCTGTGACGTGCTTCTCACATTCACACGTGTCTAGAGAAGAGAGTTTTGGGCCCCAGAATGTGGTCTTGAACTACGCCGGGGTCACGCAATGCACCCTGGTCCGATTACGCATCCCGGATACCCGCGATGAAGAAAAGGACCGGAGAGGACGTGGACACATTTTACTACAGAGCTCAACCACTTTGGCGTCGTTGTGTCGTGGTTGGGGTTTGCGTGTGTATATTTATACCTCGGATGTGTGAGTCATATATGCGCTAACATCGAGACCTAGGTGTGAGGATACTTCAAAATAAATATTCGTGCTAATAAGGGGGAGTTGAGGATCCGCGCACCTGGTGACATGCAGCGAAAAGGGGAACCCTGTGTCGGGGGTGTAGCGACCAGATTAAAGTATGTGAATAAACACGATTCACATCAAGAGTAAGAATCTTAAGGTCGACGGATGCTCAACAGTTTATTCAGACTTTGTGACTGCAGGTGCGAACTGCCATTTTATCGATCTCATGGGTTAGCAGCAGGGGGCGATTATCCTGGCATGTTAACATAGAGGAATAAAACATTCGTTTGGATGTACAAGAAACGTTTATCACAGTCAATGGAATTCGTTGGTGTGGGGAGAGATTTAGGGTCAAGTGGTTCAATAGAGGATATTCTGGGTGCAATTAAAGATGGGCAGCGTTCATGCGTGAAATCTGGTGACGACTTCGGATGCACTGTTTTCTGACGCCCATACCAATGTATGTGGTCAGCATATTACGGAAAATTGAACTCTTTTCGCGTGGTCATCTTCAACATCGGTATTGCTGGTACCTCCTTACTTGTTGACCTGTTCAAGGGGCACTTCGTTAGTCTCGTCACGGTCAGCAGGATACTTGGAGATCCGACCAGAAACAGTACCAACTGGCCCGAACACATCAACCTACAATCCACTGTACACCTTTAAAGCGATGCTGCAGACCCCATCAACTGAAAAAATCGGATCAACTTGGCTGCTTCCTGGTTGGTTCATGGACACTCCACCTCCGCCGATTAAAACAAACTTGGTCTCATTTATTTGACCAGGTAATTCTCACCCTTGCTTAATCCATCCTTCAAGCAAAAAAATAGATTATTTAGCATTTTGCTGCATCGTGAAAATAAGATTGAAGCAGAAAATAGATGAGATTCATCCACTGACAAAAGCTGATTATCAACTATTAACATGTGAAAGTAAATTAACTTTAATGATATTTACACGTTAGTCTTCATTAAAAAGCAACCAGTCCAATAATGTGTCCTTTTTTTCTGAGGTAATCTAGCACCCTGATGCAGCATGTTGTTTTGCATTCCATTGTACACGGACATTAGGATTTGCACAGAATTTGATTACAATGGCGTTAACTGTTAAGTGCTAATTAAAAACGATTCCGAATGAATTAGTTATTTTTCCAAACAGTGAAATTACTACACCATCGTAGAATCGAGCAAATTGACTTGACTACCGAAATGTTTGCGGTACTCCAAAGTTAGCATTTTAAGTAATAGGTTCTTTTAGAATAAAGTAGCCTAGGTGAGTTTGGTTGAAGAAGAGTTAATGAGAATCACGATTGTGATGTCTGTCTGTTTGCATCACTAACAAGGCATAAATAATAGAGCTTAATGCGCGGAAGTGATTCCAATTAAACTGATCAATTTGTTGGAGTGTAGATCACCATCTAAGTATCAGGTCATTTGGAAAATATAAGCAACATGCACGTCATTCACGATCCAAGAATGAACGTTCTTGATGACTTGTTTCTTGATTTTCATAATTTTGGTATTCTTATAGTACCAATCACTTGTAACTTTACGAAGTCAGTCGCTTACTTCGTGACAAGAAATCAGATTTGTGGTCTGGCAAATATCACACAAGCGTCGTGGAATGCACAATGAATTAACGTGTTTGTTCTAAACAACGCTATTTGAGAGAACGGGCCTCTCCCTTACTTAGTACTGACATGTGACCATAATTCACTGTGCATGGTGATTCAGAATTGGGTCACTTAATCTTCATTCACCAATATTTCACCTCAGTTAACATTAATCTCCGATGTATCTGCCATGTTAAGTCTAATCATGGCTTTGAGGAAACAGAATAAGTTCCATTTTACCCAAATGTTTCGGCAATCACTTCAGTAGCAGGAGACTACTTCTGGAGCCGATGAAGGCATTTTCACTTTGTGGATCTCAATATGTTACCAGGAGATTTCGCTCTAAAGTAATGGCAAATGAACAAAAGTCTTCCAAGAACAGGATTGTATTGACGGGGAAATATCAGTGAAAAAGCGGGTCGGAGGTGGTGAATGGTTCAAATAAACAGATGCTCCAACTTGACTTTCTGCAGAGATGATTCGATCACACTTTCGAGGAGAAAGGAAACAATGGTGGGGCTCTGTAAGAACGGTGAAACGAAAAGGGTGAACCAGAAGCTTCCGTGCACTTTCACGCTCTTCCAAACGGGTATCGAAATAGTGACTTCGATCGTGGGTTCTGGAGCCTTTGAAATGGTCAATGTCACGTCGAATTTCGCTTGACCAACTGAAGCACTAACAGACTGCAAGAGGGCAAATAAAAATCGTCGAAGAAAAAAATTGGATTCCACATTAAGTTTCCAGGTTGATAGTTACATTATTTGGAATTTATCAAAGGCAAGTATTGCAAATTCACAGGAAAATTCCTTTAAAATGAATTTTTGTTTTAAAATATATACCCAACGAAATTCAATATCGATATCTGTCACTTCTAAATATTTTTGAATTAATCTTTTTTTGCCAAAAGAACCATAAACCTTGTTCATATGTTTGAAAAAGCGACCTTTTCTCTGGCATGATTCCCTGTAAAAAATGTTGGTTACTTTAGTGGCTGTGTGAACTCACTTTTATTAACATCATCCCAAATTTTATTCAGAATGTGGCCAACGTAAAGCCACATCGACACATCTGACACCTACCGCGCAATCGGTTTCGACTGATGATATACATCAAACAAGACACTTTTTCTGACAATTATGTCTTACAAAAGTACTGGGTGGTCAAATATTGACAATGTGAATTAAATAAAATATTAAGCGGTTAATCAACGAAGCTCACTTTGTCTGGCATGTTGATGACAGTACCACTCACATTGAGACACGCGCTGACAATGAGCGTCAGGATTTCATCCTCCGCCGTCTCGTTTATCGTTGTCGGACATGCACGAATTAAACTTCCCACATCGATGATCTCGACTTTGCCAAGATTGGGCACATCCGGAATCGAGAAATTCGCCAAGTCGACAGAAAACGAATCAAGAATGCTGTCGACGATCGAGTCGGCAGTGGAACCTTAGGGAATGGGGAGGAATAGGAAAGAAAGAAACTTACCGTGGCATTGGATGGAGATGGGTAGGAGGGCGATTACCACGAAAACCACGAACACGTGTTTACAATTCATGTATTCCAGCGCTAGTGTTTCACCGAATGTCGTGTGTCTGACAGGGACGTTTGGAGATTTGCGAATGAAAATGTTGATGAATTGACGCTGGGATGTGGAGGCGTTGGCTCGTGAGCCTATTGCATTCTTTTCAAAGCAACAATCACTGTGTCTTCAAAAATTAACAAAACACCGTTGCCAAATGAATTCCAGGCTAAGTTGAAACCATTGAATCGACTCCCACAGTGCTCCCAGCACATCTGAGTCAGTGTTGGTTTTGTATCTTCCAGAAGAAATGTCGAGTATGGCCACAGTTGATTTCATCCCACCGTTAGACACCTCATCGTTGCTAGCATTTCAGGCAGAAATCAAAAACACGAATGCACGAGTCAAAATATCTGCGTGTTTTGCTTAAAACACTCAGTTTCTCGTGCATGACTGACAGGCAGTGACCTTTACGCGTAAACAACCAATTTGGAAGTGGTACGTTAAATCAGGCGACCCAAGGTAATCGTGAAGTCTGTGACGTTTCCTGTATTTCACACCATGTAACTGCGTTTAAAGTGGCTGACAAAACATTAGTGAAAGTAGTCGCCAGAGAGTAGTATGAGTGTTTATCAGACTAACTCTCCTCTGTTTCAAACTCAATTGCTTTTTGTTATTTGCGTTTTAATCTCTTAATTTCCGCATTCAAATTTGCCAGCAGAAGCTCACTTTAAATCAACACAATTTACGACTGTCAAACCCTTTGACTTAAAAGAGTATTTTGTGGGCTGCCATTGTCTTACTAATCTCATTTCTGGATATCTCTGTCAATGCAGGTACCAGTTTTCCGCAAAATTTGTCATCAGCATTTTATCCCGCTCAGGTTTTCCATTGTTAACCAACATCATGATGTTTAAGGATTGCAATCTTTCACGCAAAAATCATTCCATGCCAATTTGAGATATCCCTGTTCGTAGTAGTTACTAAGGTGAATGTTTTGAAAACTATAATAAGAAAGGCGGAAAAATATCATTTTAAAAAAGATTTAAACCGTGCTTGCGTGCACAATACCGAAGTTGAAGAACAAATTTTATGGTAACATCCCAGTCGATTGGTGATTTTGCATTTTCCAGCAGAAATGTCCAGCATTTCCGAAGGTACGTTTGTAGCAGGCCCCAATGAGGTTAGATAACTACACCAGGGTCGAATCTCTGCACTGGCATGGTTCGTCCGAAGAAGAGTGTAAATGCAGATGGCGTGCAGTCCGACTTATTTATTGATGCAGTAGCGGTGGTGGCTGTATAGGATAACAAGTGCGGTTACATAGCCTGGCAAAGCATCGGTCCTTGAACGAACAGAGTTGCGTGTTCGTTCGCGATTGCTAACTGTGCTCGCTTGCTGCTCGCCACACGTTCGTCCCATGTCAGACGTATACCGATTTCCATCAGTTGAGATCAAAGTCAAAAACGCTAGTTCACAGGTTAAAATATCCATGTGTTTTGGTTAAAATACATGGTTAAAGGGGAGTGTCTTATAGTCGTAAACTACCAATGTGAAAGTGACGTCTTGAATCAAGCGACTCAAGGCCATCGTAAAGTCTGTGGTGTTTCTTTTATTTTCACCACGCAACTGCGCTTGACGAAACCGACCAGTCACTAGGAAATTAGGTCGCTTGCATCTAGACTGTGTCCTACTGATTAAGTGTTCTCTCCCTTATCTTCGACCATTATTAGACCAGCCAATTTAGGTTTGGATACTTAAGTCTTTTTAAACTGAAATTACTTCATCACGGATACTATTTGTCTATGATTTGGCCATAGAGCTACATTTGAGTGACGCAGCTCATAAAAATTTGAAACTATGAATAAAAATTGGGCGTCGATGCACCAATTTGTTTCTAGGATTTCTTACATAATTTAAGAGTTTACATCGATTTCATGGAAATCCTTGCTTAATGATTCATTGTTGGCAGTAAGAAAAAGACAGCACTGCGCATCGAAGTAAAAAATTCTTGTAAACTTCACATTCAATAAAGCCTTCGAGCACAACTCACAAAACAGCCGACAGTTAACTCTGACATCTGCCTCTTGACCGAATCCGGAAATCGCGATTCCCAGCCACCTTTCTCTCTACCACTTGTGACTATTTTGTCCTAAAATATGTCGTAAATGTTCACCCTACGAAATGGTTTAGTTTTCACAAAAGCACCGTTTAGGATAAGGGACTTAAGGTCAAAACAATGAAAAAATTCAGCAGGGGAAATGCAATCCCTAATTCAACTTTTTGAATAGCCAACTTGACCTTGTTGCAGCCCCAAGTGAAGAGGCACCAGTGCGTTTTCAAACTCATGAATAGATGCCATTAACTATTAGTAAAATATCTAATATTTCAAATCAGATTTCTTCAACACTGTTACTTTTAGGCAATGATTTGACCATGGAGCCATATTTGAAAATGCAGTGTTGTGGTGGCCGGCATGTGGTACATTTAACCCTGGCCCGATTGCGCTTTCCTGATACCCTCGACGAAGGAGACAAGCGAAGACATTGCTGAGGCCCCCGGCATGTAGTCTTGAACCACGCCGGGGCCACTGCGACAATCTATGACGAATACGTTACCCTGTGTTCCCGCGAAAATAATGAAGACCGGAATAGAAAAAGACAACCGTTTACTAGACAACTCGACCAAGTTGTGTCGCGTACAATTACGGTTCAGTGGACATGTACAAAAATACAGTTGTCTGTGAGGTCACATGACTAAAGCGGGTGGTGGTGGGACATGCAGGGTGGTTAATGAATCGTGGCCTCACGTGACTGACAGGCAGGTCGTGAAAAGGGGGGACGTGTGCTGGGGGCTGCGAGGACTGGGTTATTGGAAATGAATCAACAAGAATCCCTACAACATAAACACAACCGTTTACGCCAGCGCTCGACCAGGTCGGTGTCGTTGTGTCGTGTGTGGCGTTTGCACGCGTGTTTTTGTATCTCAGATATGCAACTTATTGATGAGCTAACATCGAGATCTAGTTGTGGGGATAATCCAGGATAAATTTTCGGGCTAATGAAGGGGGAGTTGATGATCCGCGAAGCTGGCGACATGCTGCGAAAATGGGAACCCTCTGTCGGAGGATGGAGCGACCGGATTAAGGAGTGTGTATAAACACGATTCACAACAAGTGCATTACGGAGTAATTTTAAACCATGTAGCAAACTTTAAAATTGTCAAGACCTTAAAATTTCAGCTGAAAACTGGCAGAAAATGTGCAAGACACGTTGCTTAATTATATTCCGTTGTTTTCAATAGTATCTAACCGCCATAGCAAGTCTTTGCATAGTTGTTCCTAAAGGCAACGTGTAATTTATGCACTGTAATCATGGAAATTGACCTTTGACTTGTTGTTTAAGTGGACCAGTTCTACAATGCCCAAGGATGGGGTGACGCTAGTTGCGAGTGCCACTTGTCACACAATCGCACTCACACACCCGAAGTGTCTGTCACGCATGCTATTTTGACGCCGCCCACTTGGTTACACTGGTTCTTACCAATCGACCCTCCTTTTTTAATCAAAGTGTTGAGTTTTGTGGACGCTTTGGTTTTTCGTTAATTCCGACATCTGCCTCTTCCCTTTATCAACGCCTGGAATTAGTGCTCCACCTTTGGTACCAGGCGTTATTCCCTCTCATTAGTGTTTAGAAGGTTCTTCCTCACAATCCTTAACTTCTTACAAACGCACCAACCGACAAACTCAAACTGGGATTTCATTGCAAGCTAAAGGTAAGTGACTCGTCAATTAACAACTGTCTGGGTTGTCTGGGCTGGTTCCGAATCCGGAAAACGCAATTCCCCAGCCCCCGTCGTCTTCTCACAACCCGCATTTCCTCTCTCTTTCTCACTCCGGACACCCCTGCCCCCGAACAAGTCATAAGCCCTCGCTCAGTGAACAAGTCGAGTCGAAGGCATTGAAATTCAAAATGGTAAAAAAATGCAGCAGTGAACGAGGATTATGTGTTCGTGTTGTCGAAGATATACATGAACTGATCAAATAAAAAGTTTCTCCAGTTTGATCTTTTGCAGCGCCGAGTTGACCGCCGTTTGAAGCATGAACGAGACAATGCCAGGGCTCTTTAAAAAGCCTGCAAATATGCTGAGGAAAAAGCTGTTTGTTTTGACATTTACGCCTTCCCAAACCGGAATCGAGATGCTGGCTGTTGCAGTTGGTTTTACCGACTTTGTAATCCTCAGTGTAACCTCAAATTTCGCCTGGCCAATTGAAGCAGTGATGGACTAAAAGAAGTTGTATGGACATGTGTTTAATGGAAGACTATTGACATTGATCTGCGACAAAGTGTTGGACATTTCTATTAATTCGAAAAATACAAAGTTAGTCCTTTGTCAATAACAAATAATTGGTCAGCTAACCCGTACTATCGTATACCTCTGAATGGAGAAAAACCATCTGACGACCATGTTTTCAGAAGCGGTTGGTATAGTTCCATGTGCGTTTTGGTCAGTTTTGAACAAGACGCTGAATTTGTACGGAGTTATTTCGTAAAACCGTCATCCACGACACAGTTTCCGTCATTTGTGACTAGCTATGCATACATTTCAATTGTATCTACAATACCAGTGCAAATATTTGCGTAGAAATATTTGTCAGCTAGCGAAGTATTGCAATGTGGGCTCAATTTCGCCTGAGCACGAATGTGAAAGATTTTAACCAAGGCACTCATTAGGTTAGTTTAAAATATGCTGTTGTGTGATGCTGAATGGCAGTTTGGCCAGATATACTTGAACCTGCTTGATTAAGTTTCCACGTACCCTCAGCATTGCGCACTTGGTTGCGAACTAACACTGACTTGCCTATTATTTTGGCTAAATACATCGACATGGAAATGGCTACTCCACTTATGTCATTCCCATTCGCTCATCTGGGCAAGGTGGTGCAATATTACTTGCTTCAAATGCGTTCTAGTTTCACGATTTCTACCATTAAACGATAGATTATCACCCAAAATCAAGTTAGGCCTAGGGTCTTTGAAATAAAGTATTCGAAGTTTCTTAATCGGACTAATCCACTTGGTAAATTTCGACTTCATTGGCACTGCGATGGGATGGTGAATGCACACTCTACGAATTGCCTTATTGTCTCACAGCAGATTCTGGTTTGATCAGCTCCAGAAGGCAGTCAGTTTGTGATGGTCGTTAAAGGGAAGTGGAGATAAAGTGCGTAGTTGCGAACTGGCCATGCATCATGCCTGGTTCACATAAACAGGCTGTTCCAGTTGATTTTCTGCAGAGCCGAATTAACGACTGCTTGCAGCATTACCGGAACAATGCTATCTGCCTTAAAATCCACGAAATAATAGTGGAA